GGGGGTGCGGGCCCAGGAGAGGAAAGGAGGGACCCCCCCAAACCTCCTTCTCAGCCTCTTTCCTCGCCCTGGCCTGCAGGAGAGCAGGCACTGGTCCCTTCGGGGGTCTGCTTGGCAGAGGCCCAGGGGACTCCCCCCTTTCCCTCCCCCTTCCCCCTTATTCCCCTTTTCCCCTTCCTGGGGTGCATCCCCACAGGGACAGGGATGGAAGAAGCCAGTAATGGCCCCTCTCCTCCAGTCCCAACATCCACATCCCTCCCTCTCTACCAGTTCCTGAGCCGCACCCCACCCTCTCCCCCAGTTCCCAGGGCTGCATCCCTCCCTCTCCTCCAGCTCTGCAGCAATGAGCAAACCAGTAGGGAAGGGACCAGGCACGGCCCCTCTCAGCATCCCTGGTGGTTTTATTTCAGAGGGGCCCAGGTGACCCGGATGCCCCGCTCAGAAGCAGAGCCAGGGGAGGCGGTGTGTGTGGTCCCCTTGCTCTTCCTCCCAGGCCCTCTGTAGCCATGATGGATCTTTGCTGGTCTCCAGCCTGTAGCAGGGCTGTCTGCACCCATTGCTATCCCACTGCCCGGACGGGCTTGGGACATGATGGCAGGGCATCACAGGGCTGCACTCGTCCCTCTGGGGCCCCACTGCTGCCACCAGCGTGGCCAGGATCATGGCAGGCCACCCCAGTACGGTCATCCTCCACCTGCAGGCAGGAAGCCCCTGCTGACAGCTCAGCCTTCACCCAGGAATTTCACCTCCCTCAGCGCACTGGCTCTCTGTCCCACCTTTCCTGTTACTTGTACTCATGGTTCTTGTCCAGGCAGCCCACGGGCAGTGAGGCACACTGTTGCACCCCTTGGCCGTGCCATCCCCACCGCCATCTGCTCCCCCTGCCCCAAGCAGGGCAGCCTTCCCAGCACAGCAGCCTTGCAAAGGCTTAATTAATCCTCCTGAAAGGTCTTTTTAGATGCCTGGCTCAACTCTTGGTTACAGTGCGGACATGTTTCTTCCCAGACCTGGGCAGGCATCTCAGTCATTGAAGGACCCAGCTTCACCTCCCCACCGCGCCCCAGCGGAGCCAAAGGGATCACCAGCTTTGCAGCACATCAGCTGCACGATACCTGCCCACAGCGACCTTCACAGGAGTCAGAAAAATTAGCAGAAGCTCCATCACAGGCTACAGAAGGCAGCCGTGGGACTGGTGATGATGGAGCCCAGGATGCAAGCAGAGGATGCAGCACCGATACAGCACCAATCCAGCTCCTTGCCCTCTGCTTGTCCCCTGGGGCATGGACCCGCTCCATCCAGGCAGGGACCTGGTTCCTCAGGTGGAGCTGGTCCCTTTGCTGCCCTGGTTCAGTAGAGGACAGAGCCTGTAATGAGTAGGGGCCCAGCGAGGGGAACCTGCTTGCAGGGGTCCCCCATCCCTGCTGGTTTTGGAGGTACCACCCCTTAGTGCTGGATGTGGGGTCAGTGGAAGTGCTCAGGTAGCCCAAAGGGATTATGCAGGTCCCAGTCCCCAGGTCAGTGGGGATTTCTTTAAAGCATCATCTCCCAGTCCCGCACAGCTGAATAAGATGCTGTCACCACCTCCCAATGGCTCTTGACCAGCAGCACCAGGGATGCAACCCCTGCCCAAACAGTCCAATGGGCTTGTGCAAGGCATTTGGCGCTGTCCGGCACAACATCCCGGTCTCTAAGTTGGAGGGACATGGATTTGACATCTGGACCACTTGGTGGATAAGGAACTGGCTGGATGACCACACTCAAAGAGTTGCAGTCAACAGCTCGATGTCCAAGTGGTGACAAGTGGCATTCCTCAGGGGTCTGTACTGGGACCAGTGCTGTTTAACATCTTTGTCAGCGACATGGATGTTGGGATGGAGTGCACCCTCAGTCAGTTTGCTGACGACACCAAACTGTGTGGTGCAGTCGACACGCTGGAGGGGAGGGATGCCATCCAGAGGGACCTGGACAGGGTGGAGAGGTGGGCCTGTGCCAACCTCATGAAGTTCAACAAAGCCAAGTGCAAAGTCTTGCACGTGAGTCGAACCAATCCCAAGCACAAATGAAGGCTGGGCAGAGAATGGACTGAGAACAGCCCTGAGGAGAAGGACTTGGGGGTGCTGGTGGATGAGAAGCTCAACATGAGCCAGCAATGTGCGATCACAGCCCAGAAAGCCACCAGCCCTCTGGGCTGCATCCCCAGCAGCGTGGCCAGCAGGGTGAGAGAGGGGATTCTGCCCCTCTGCTCTGCTCTGGGAGACCTCCCCTGCAGTGCTGCCTCCAGCTCGGGGGGTCCCAACAGCAGAAGGAGACAGAGCTGTTGGAGTAGGGCCAGAGGAGGCCATGGAGATGCTGCGAGGGTTGGAGCCCCTCTGCTGGGAGGACAGGCTGAGAGAGTTCAGGGCGTTCAGCCTGGAGAAGAGAAGGGTCTGGAGAGACCTTTGAGCCCCTTCCAGTCCCTAAAGGAGCTCCAGGAGAGCTGGGGAGGGACTCTTGATCAGGGAGGGGAGCCACAGGAAGGGGGGAATGGTTTTAAACTGGAAGAGGGGGGATTTAGATGAGATATCAGGAAGAAACTTTTCACTGTGAGGGTGGTGATCCCCTGGTGCAGGTTGCCCAGAGAAGCTGTGGCTGCCCCATCCCTGGAGGTGTTCAAGGCCAGGTTGGACGGGGCTTGGAGCAACCTGGGCTGGTGGGAGATGTCCCTGCCCATGGCAGAAAGGTTGGAACTTGATGGTCTTTAAGGTCCTTTCCAGCCTAAACCATTCTATGATCCTATGACTAGGACAGAAGATGGGAGAGCACCCATGAGAGCTTGGCAACTGACCCTTTCAGCCCTCCTCCCAGCACTGCAGCCCAGTTCACACAAACAGAAGCCCAGGTTACAAACCAGGTTCTTTTTCAGCATTAACAGAGTCATTCACTTCGCTCCTACTACCTGAAGCCGAGTACCTTCTGGCAGCATCAAAATTCACCTACAAGTTTTGCATCTCTGACCATCCTGGCAAAAGCCAGCCAGATTCTGGCAGCCAGCGCACAGCTCAGCCAGCAGCAGTAAGGTTGCACAGCTGGTTTAGCTTTCACAAGTTCAGCTTGAGCAGTTTGTGTCCGAGGGCCATCAGCCTGGCAATGCAAACGGAGTACTTTATGTGAGCCCACAGAAACACTACCATCTGCGGCCTGGAGCGAGTCACCCCCCCTGGCAGAAGGCAATAGTCAGCTTTTCTTAGATAAAACTATAAAGGTAGATGTGCTGCTTGCATGTAAGGCTCCTTCAGACTGCACAGCCAATTTGGGTCAAGTATAGGACCACGTAAGAGCAGTCAGCTCCCATCCTCCTTTCCCCACCCCTGGATCCCTCACGCAGGTAGCACAGCACAGGGTTTAGTCTGTGCCTGATGCTGCCAGGAGCCCCCCGGCCACCCTGCTTTGACAGGGGCTCTCAGGGTTGCCAGGGGACACAGGCCAAGCTCTTGCAGAAACACCCAACTCCTTTCTTAGAGAGCAGCATTACTCCCAACACCCCGCTTTTCATAACAACTGAATGCAGAATAGTTTGGGTGGGAAGGGACCTAAAGGCTATCCAGTCCAACCCCCCTGCCGTAAGCAGGGACATCTTCAACTAGATCAGGTTGCTCAGAGCCCCATCCAACCTGACCTGGAATGTTTCCAGGGATGGGGCATCTCCCACCTCTCTGGGCAACCTGGGCCAGTATTTCACCACCCTCATCATATATCTAATCTAAATCTACTTTCTTTTAGTTTAAAGCCATTTACCCATCTCCATGAACAGACTCTTCCCTTCAAGCCCCACAAGAGTTCAAGGCAGCCTTCCTTCTGCCTCCCTCAGCTGCCCCATCAGGGCCTGACAAAGCCAGGGCCATGTAATGGTATCAGCTCCATCAGCCATTGCTGCCAACCCACACCTGGTGTGGAGCAGAATTAAACTCTTTCAGGGCTAGGATAGTAATCAAATCAGTTTAATATGTAGTCAACATATTATAAATGCATCTGAATCCTACAGTATCGCTACTAGCCGTGGCCATCACGACCAGGAGCCCACCTTTCTAGAAAGGCACAGAGAGGTAGGAGTGTTGGGGCATTTCCCCAGATTAGTTGCAAGTGAGAACGTGCATGTGGGACCTTCGTCCTGGAGGCCCGAGATAACCAGAAACGTGTGCTTTTTGCAAGGAATGCTAATGTGCTGGGAGAAGTACAGGCACCTTGAGTAACGGCCAAGGCCTCCCACTGACTGGCAAGTCAAGAAACTCTTGCTGGCTTTTGCCTATGCTAAAAGAAAAAGAGTAGAAAGGAAAGCAGAGGACAGAAGAGCCTGGCTCTGTGTGTGAAGGGTATTTGGTGAGGCAGGAGCAAGAAAGATGCATAAGGTTGCCTTTGCCCTTGGCCAGGGACAAGGACTGTTATTTGCATTGCTTTGGACTCCATTACCACCCCAGGGGTGAATGAGAAGAAACGTGTCATCCTCTGGTATCGCCACCACGTTTTCCTGCACCAGCAGATCAAGAGCAAATCTTGGGAGCAAACTGAGCATCTGGAGTGGGGACAGCAGTGTCACCAAGCATTTGGCTCATCTTCTGTGGCAGCTTGAAGAGGGAAGTGGCACCACGGTGGTCTCCTTGTGGCGGGGGACGTGCGGAGCCCTGCAGCTCTGCGAGAAGGCACTGTTCACTGGGGTGGGCAGGTCCAGAGATTCTAATTCTCGAATTTTGCATAAGGGTTCTCTTCCTTGAACAGGCCTAGAAGAGAAGAGAGATTCATTCAGACAGCAGCTGCCATGCCAGTCGCAGCCAGCCAGAAACCTAGTTCTTGGTTTGCCATCCCTGTTTCACCCAGCCTCCTGTCCTGCAGTCCTTCCAAAAGACCTGCTCATACTTGAGTTGTGCATGCAGTCAGCGCTATTTCGCTCTCCTCCTCTGCACAAGAGGAGAGATCCATTAAGAAGCTCGACCCGATTGCAAGCTCCTCTCCCAGGTAGTCCACATAAAGTCCAGGTAAAGCAGCACGACTGATCTTCCAGCCCACCCCTTCTGCACGCTCCTTCTCTTGGACCAGACTTGGAAGCAGAGAGCCCAGACCCAAATTTGTTGTGGTTTAGCCCCAGCCAGGAATTAAAACTGTTCTTAGACTTCCTCCCCTGCTCCTACATCCCCAGGCTGGGAGACAGGGCACGGGGCTGACTTCTGGGCCAGTGACAAGCCCTCAGGCCACTCTATTGGCTTCTTTCCCTGCCCCAGCCCAACACTTTTGAGGAGGAACAGCGGGAAAGGACGAGATTGCAAACTCTCTGGTGAGGCTGGGGCAGGACAGAGCCCTGGCATGGCAAGACAGCCCTGAAGCACAGCTCTTCCACTTCCACGAGCAGGTGCTTCCCCCACCACGGGCTCCTTCAGGCACTGTTTTGCCTGCTCTTCCTCCCCCAGAGGAGCCAGCCCAGCCAGAGGCCCCTGGATCTCCTGCCCAACCTGGACCTGCAGCAGGCAGAAGAAGGGTCTCCAGCTTTCCATACAGCCCCTTCCACCACGCTCAGTGTGGATGAGCCAAATTGCTCCATGGCCACCCTGGGAGAGCTCCCAGCAGCCCAAAATGGGTAGGCAGGAGAGACCTCTCCACCAGCTCCGAGCAACTGGCTGCTCCCCCCTTCCTTCCAGGCTGCTGTCCCCCTCGGGCAGGTCTTCACCCACCCCGGGGCCATGGGACTCACCTGAAGGACAGTCCAACCCCAGCGGACTGAGCCACCTCCCGGGGAACCACTGCTGGCACCGAGGACTGTCTCGGTGGTCAGGCTGGTGCCTGCTCTCTCCTCCTGCTGCTGTGGGCTCCCGCCTGTTCCCCTACCCCGGGTGGCCAGCTCCCCAGCCGCTTGCTGGCCACAGGGCTGCCGGAGGGCCGTGCCTGAAGGGCAGCAGCATTACGGCTGGCGCTGTGTCTGCCAGCTTCTGCTTCTCCCCTCCAGTAAAGCCCCAGCAGCTTCTCCGGCGGGGCGAGTTCAGAGGACGCAGGTCCCATTAAAAACACTCCCCTTCCCTGCCTGAGAGCAGCAGCACTTGTATGGGGTCACACGCCATGACCCAAGCGTCTCTACACTTGCTCCCGGAGGGCAAGAGAGCAATTCAGTGAGAGAGGAGAAGCAGAAACCGTTTTCCCTGCTGGCCAGGTCTCCTCTGCAGCTGTCACCATAGCACCAGTTACCAAGGCTGCTCAATCTAAAGCTTAGTTTGAATCGCTTGCGTCAGCACTGTACCGTATTTTCTTCGGATTTCATCATGCCGCGATTTCATCTCTGCTCTCCTGCAAGAAGCAAACAGAAAAACCCACGAGTCGGTGACTGGCGATACAAAACCAACCAAGAGGAGCTACAGCTCCTTGTTTCTTCCCAACCCAGGGAGCTCAGCCCCCCACCGCCCACCTCCTGGAGGCACCGGGGACCACCAGAGCCCACGCACATCAGCAGCTCTCGGGGAGTGGGATACACAGTACTGTTGGGATGCTGCATCCACGAGTCCCCCCAGAAAGATGTTGCTCGTGAGGTTTACGTTTGAGCTAGGGCTGAAGCAGCCGCTGGCTGCACGTGTCGAGCCCCACATGCCTCCTGGCATCACGTCTGAGGGTACAGACAGAAGGCGAATCGTCTGGCAGCCTGAGGAGCAGGGACTACAGGGCAACCTCACCTCTCCTCCTGACGCACCCGCCTCTTCTCCCGCTCCCTGGCCGCTCTCTCGTCATCCTTGTCTGGCCTGGCAGACAGAAGAGCCCATTAGCAGCGCTTGGGACGCAGTGCTGCAACAGCACGTGGTTGTGGCTAAGCTACTTGGAGAAAACAGGGAACCCCTCCGATACTTGCTTTTTGCTCTTTTTCTTACAACAGCAGCAGCAGCAGCAGACCCCCAACATGATAAGGATCGTTCCTCCCACCACAGACATCGCAATGATCAGGGCTTCAAAGTTCACTAGAGGATGCAACAGAACACATTTAGCACACAAATACACGGCCGCCTGGAGTTACCACAATATTTACAAGCATACAGCTGCTGTCACCAGCAGCTTCAGTCACCGGGCTGGAGAGACGTGTAAAAGCAAGCTGAACATCATTTTCTATAGGTATATACCAAGCATTGGCACAGCACATACACACCAACAGAGTATATGTAGCTGCTAACTATAGCACTCGGTTACCGGCTATGAAGAAAGGCAATAACACGTGCAGTCAGGTCAAACTCCTCTGGCAGAAACGGGAGCAAAGCTGTCTTAATCACTAATCCAGGTGAACAGTAACCCATCAAGGGGAAAAAAATAAAACAACCTGGAGGCTTCAGCGCTGAGGAGCAACCTCCAATGGAAGGGCCGCAGCTGGCACTGGAGTTGCTGCCTACAGGAGCCAACCTCAGAATTCATCTATAAGATGTGATGACAGTGGACCGGACACTTGATGGGTGTCTGGAGTCCTTGGGCGGGAGACAAAGTGAGACAAAATCTGCTGGGATTTATCGGCTTGGGGCCAGCAGTGCGATGGAAGGCTGCTTTCTGCACCCCCCCCTCCATGTCCCCCCAGGGCTTGGAGGGGTCTGCTCACCCACGCACAGCGCAAAACCCGCTGGGACACGGTGGTGGAGCAGCAGCCTCGAGCCCTGGTCCCAGGGAGGCAGTGGTCCATCTCGGCTCCTGCAGGAATAGCAGCAGAGACACCAGCCCGCAGGGACATATCTAGACATCACCTGAAATCCTCTGAAAGAAAGAGAGGTTTCTTCCAAGCACGATTCAGACTGTTCAGAGCCTTGGGCCTGTGGAAATATTTGTTTAGGACCCAGCGCACACACAGCAGCCAAGTTACAGAAATCCTCGTGCACCTGAGCCTGCGGAGAGCTCTTCTGATCCCTCTTCTCCACGAGGCTCAGACCCTGAGCCCAGCAGAAAGCCCGAGCACCGCAGGTGGTGCATTTCAGGGTGTTTCAGAAGATGCCAGCCTGTCCCCTCGCTGCAGGGACTCGGTGGCAGCAGGGGTTCGTCAGGGTGCTCCAGGCTGAGCTGACTCCACCATCAAAGTTGCTTTCCAAGGCTCCCGCTCCCAGTGGAGAGCTCCATCGCTGCCCACAACTGAGCCATCTGACTCTCAAATCACACCGCGCCCCTACCCAGGCGACGGTGGCAAGCACCACACGAGGAATGTGGTTCCAGGTACCAACCGCAGACAGCTGCCATGGCCTAGCAGGTCACCAGTGAGGCCAGAAGTCAGCAAGCCACTTGTGTTTGTCCCCACGGGGGGGTCTCAGACAGCCCCCCCAGCAGTCACCCAGCAGCAGGGAAGGCTGCAGGTCCACCTTCCCAGTAAGGCTTTGAGAAAGACGGTGTTTGAGACCTGACTGTCCACGGCACTGTCTTGCCTCGGAGCAACGTGAAGCTTTCCCTGGCTGCACTGTCACAGACCCATGGAGTCAGGCAGGGAACAGGTCAAAGGCCGAGGGTCAGAAGTCAGCGGGGGCAAGACAAACCCACCCGGGCTCTTCAGCTCAAAAGCGACTTTCTCCACCAGGACGTCTGTACTGGTGCTTCTGAAAGCTTGGCTTTCAGGGTGAGCCTGGGGTTTGGATCACCCCTTCCCATAGACAGAGGTGTGTGGCAGAGCACTGGGCACTCCTCCACCTGATGACGAAGGCTTAAGTCACACACACACACACACAAAATGCAGACTCATTTAAGAGCTAATCTCTGGCAGGACTAATCTCCTCTAAAGCGAGTTTTACAAGCTAAGGAATGCATTCATCTATAATGAAACCTTTTGTGAAGCTACTCACACAAAAAAAACTAGTATTTCAAGGTCTTGCACAAGTTTCGGAAAAGCATGCTGGAGTGCTCACAAAGAGGAGATTCTTCCTCCCCAAAGGTATGAGAGCAGCTTTAACTCTCGTGGGTAGAGAAGAGAGCCCAGCCTCGAGCACAATAGATGTCAGGCGACCACAATTCAACTCCAAGTTCCCCATCAAGGGGACGGGTGAGAGAAACCAAGCCCCAGCTTGCTTCCCAGCTGCTCCAGCCCCCAAAAGCTGGGTCCTGCCTGAACACGAGCATGCTTGGTCTAAACAAAGACGCTCATCTCTTCAGAAACCCACCAGGAAACAGAGCACTGAGGAGGAAAGGCAGCCAACAGTCACACAAAGCTGCCGGAGGTGACCTGGCTGCAGGCAGCCAGCTGCAGCGCAGCTTATGCAGGGCTGGTTTTGGAAGAGGGTATTTTTTCTCAGGTGGGTCCTGAGCAGGACTGCAGCATGCTCAGCACTAGAAGAAACCCACGCAGGCCTCCGGAGAAATCACCTCACTTCTGGTTCCAAGAGCCCCCATGAATTTTAAGAGGGCAGCAGCCACACTGCGGAAGGTGGAAGAGCCAGAAGCTGTGCAAGGAACAATGCACGGGGTACAGAGGAGTCAGCCTCTGGTGTGCACCCTTTGAGCCCCACGAAGGGTTGCGCAGGTAGCTGCCTGCCCAGCACCTTCGACTCTTGTTCCTCGGTGCTGGCCACATGTGGAAGCCTCCATCTTTATTAATATCTCCATTAATGACCTTGACAAGGGGACTGAGAGCACCCTCAGTAATTTTTCAGACGACACCAAGTTAGGCGGGAACATTGATCTGCTTGAAGGTAGGAGGGCTCTTCAGAGGGATCTGGACAGGCTGGATCGATGGGCTGAGGCCAATAGTGTGAGCTTCACCAAGGACAAGTGCTGGGTCCTGCCCTTGGGTTACACCAACCCCATGGAATACTACAGGCTTGGGGCAGAGTGGCTGGAGAGCTGCCCAGCAGAGAAGGACCTGGGGTGTTGGTGGACAGCCGGCTGGATATGAGCCAACAGTGTGCCCAGGTGGCCAAGAAGGCCAACGGCATCCTGGCCTGTATCAGGAACAGTGTGGCCAGCAGGGCTAGAGAAGTGATTGTCCCACTGTACTCGGCACTGGTGAGGCCGCACCTTGAGTACCGTGTCCAGTTTTGGGCGCCGCAGTATAAGGAGGACATTGAGGTGCTGGAGAGGGTCCAGAGAAAGATAACAAAGCTGGTGAAGGGTCTTGAGAATAAGTCTTATCAGGAGCAGCTGAGGGAACTGGGGTTGTTCAGCCTGGAGAAAAGAAGGCTGAGGGGAGACCTTATCACTCTCTACAACTACCTGACAGGAGGCTGTAGAGAGGTGGGTGGTGGTCTCTTCTCACAAGTTACAACCAACAGGACAAGAGGAAATGGCATCAAGTTGCACCAGGGGAGGTTTAGGTTAGAGGCTAGGAAAAACTTCTACACTGAAAAGGCTATCAAAGACTGGGACAGGCTGCCCAGGGAAGTGGTGGAATCGCCATCCTTGGATGTATTTAAAAGCCATCTAGATATGGTGCTCAGGGACATGGTTTAGAAGTGGGCCCAGTAGAATTAGACAACAGTTGAACTTGATGATCTTAAAGATCTTTTCCAGCCATAACGATTCTGTGATCGCACCAAAGCATGAGGAATGTATTTAGAGTAGCGAAAACCCCGTGGGTCCTTCTTGCCAGAAGGTAGGGAGCTGCTCACGCTCCGCTTTCTCGCCCACGCGTCAGGAAGTTTGCAGAACCCTGAGAGACTTCAGCCCACCATTGCTACACCAGGAGTGAGAATGGGAGGTGAGGGAAACCTCCCATTACCACCAGCACGAGTGCTAAAGGCAGTCATCGCTCGAGCACGATCCACTTACCCCAGCAGACTCCCCAGCGTGCAGAGCGGAGCTCACAGAGGTCAGCCGGGGGGAGGATTCTCCGGACGGGGTACTCCACACACCTCCCACTGCTGGCACACCACAGGCACTGGGAGACAGGAACCAGGCAGCACAGCGTTACTGGTGCATGGCAGTGCTGCCAGTTACCTGTGCTCTGCTTGGTTAGCTGCGGCAACAGGGCCACCACCACCTCCTCCTGCGAGCCAGGTACCACCCAGCAGCGATGGGATGCTCAGGAGGAACGGTGGTGTTCAGTCAGCGCGGGGCTGCGTCCGGCTTGCCTGCACTGGGAGAGGCAGGTGAGGGGAGCGCAGGTTTCTTGGGCAAGTAAAGACTCCAAGAACCCTTCTCCTGGCTTCTGTGACAGTAGTAATCACCGAATCCTTCACATTTATTACATGTGGCATTGTTGGGACAAGAAGAAAGCCTTCGAGACCAGCTGCCCAACACAGAACTGCTGAGCGGGAGAGGTTTGTGGGTGCCCTCACCAGTCCTTCCCAGCCAGGCTACTCGTGGCAGCTTTGCACCCTCCTTTCCTGGTGGCTCCAACCCCCAGTGCCAGCGTTCAGCTGGGTTTGGTCAAACTGGTTCTGGCTAAGTCAGTTACGAGACCTGACTCAAGTTCAAGTTTGCTGATAGCAGAGATAAAGGTGGTAGAGGAGGTTGGCAGGACACAGGTACGCATCCCGCATCCACCCAGTGCCGCGGCACCCACAGACCGGTGGAAGGGCAGCAGGACCAGCCAGGCCAGCCCACTCAGCTCCTTCACCCTGCTGCCCCCTTGAGAACATCTCCCATCTGCGAGGAGGAGCTCGGCAATTCCATTACTTGACTTGAAAAACATACAAGAAAACCCAAGCAGTTTTTAGCAATCTCTTCCCAGAGCACTGACGGGGGGCATGCCATGTCACCATCATGGGTGGGTGGCATTTGCAACGTGCTCAGGACAAGGGCAGGGGAGCTGCCCCCCTGCCAGGAGGGACGCTGCTCCGTAAGAGCCCGACAAAGCCCACGCTACCTTTTCAGGCATTGCAAGAAGTTGGGAGTTTTAACTGCTGCTACTTACGGTGACATTTTTCAGACACTCCTCACAGCTCTTGTTCGTATACTGGTGACAACCTACAGGAAGGGGAAAAAATAAAAAGACACCTCAGTACTTTGAAGAGCTTCTCGATGGTTTAAAACTCCGGGCTCCTCAGAGCCTGCTCCTGCCCGCTCCGGGAGGCGGTGGCTCCCATGGGACCGGTGCAATGCCGCTGCAAGAAGCTGCCAGCTTCAAAACACACTCAGTGTCACGGTGGGAGGCCCAAATGCTAATGGAAGTCACCTGCCTTGCCCACGCTGACCCAAACCCCAGAGCTGTGAGGTCCTCTCCCTGGGTCTTATTTTCCTAAAAGCCATCTGCTGTGGCTGGCAGGCAGCGGGACAGCTGGAGGACACAGCTGGGGTCGGTCCAGAGGGACCCTGTGAGGACAAGGACAAGCATGGGGCAGGCGGTGCAGTCCCGTATCACCGGATGACAGAGCAGCTCAAGCAAACAAGCCCCAGACAAGGAAGTTGCCACCAGGAAAAGCAGAAGTAGAGGAGCACAAGGGGGAGGGGGATGGACACGCAGGTCCGCTCCCTGCGGGAACCCACACCCTCCCTCGGCTCCAGTGCCACTGTGGATGACGGCATCCCCAAAGGATGCAGGTAAGCTGGATGGGGGGAACGGATCAGAACTGAACACAGGACAAGGTGGCCCAATTCCAACAGCCTTCCTGGGGGCTTGCCCGCAGCTCCCGGCAGCGCTAGCTCTTCGGGGAAGTCTTCCTACAGGATAGTTGCCCGCCATTTCACCCCCAGCTCCTCGGGAAGGGTGGTTGGCCAGCCCTTGAGGATCAGCCATTTAAACCTCACCCCTGCCTGAAGACTCTACGCATCATCCTGTTTGACTACGGTTCAAAGCCCAAAACGCAAACCCAATTTGCCTGACTACTCAGTAACCGGTGGAAGAAGGATCACCGCTTCACGGCACCTTAATCAGGAAAAGAAATCAGTCCCGGAGGTGCTTGTTTTCCACACTCAGAAGCAGCAAAGCTGCATTTTCTCCCTCCAGCTGGCAGGAACCCTCAGCTGTGACCCACTGTCAACAGTCACATGCTCTGCGTAGCTCTCCAAACAACTGGGCAATTTATTAACATAGCTCAGATAAGGGTGTTTACACACTGCCCGGAGAGGCCGAGATTGCAGATTTTAAACACTCTAGGAAGCCGCATCTTCCCCGTTTCTCCAGTCGAGGCCGGAAAAGCATCACAGCGCCTGTGCTGCCCCCGAGACTGTTTGCTTATGAGGAGTCACCAGAACAGCCCTCTCGCACCGCAGGAGGCCATCGGCGGGCAAAAGGAGAGCCTGCGGTTTTAACCGGGCCTTACTATTGACACTCTGCTTCCCCCGGGGGGGTGTCCCCTCTTCTGGCACGTGTGGGTTTCACCCTCAGAGCTCAAAGTCTTAAGTCAAAGAGTTAAGTTGAGTTCTGGCTCCTTAAGTCAAAGCCACCCTCTCACAGCTGTATGGGAACAGGCCGTTTCCCGGACTTCGCAGCCCTTCAGGATTGGGGGTTTTGTCCAAATGCCTGATCTCAGGGGATCAGCCCACTGGCACAGGACGGCCTGGGAAGCACCGCAGTCCTCGGGGACAGGGGTGGGAGAGCTGTGCTAGAAGCGTCCTGGATAATCCTTTTGCCACTTGGCGACAACAGAAGTGAAGTGAATGGCCTGGGGCAGAAAGAAGACAGCAAAATACACGCTGGTCCTCACTCTCCTCCCAGCTGGAGCCACTGTGAAGCCTTCAGAGGGCTGGTCATCACATGGAGAGAAGTTCCTCGCCCGTAAGAGCGGGCAGGTTTCTTGGGATACCCCTGAAGGGGGGTGTCCCCACCTTTTGCTAGAGCTTCTCCTCTACCTGGCACGGCACCTATGGGGCTGTGCTACATCCTCCATCCACCAAGGAGGAGCCATCGGCCACCCGTTGCTCCTCAGCCAGATCTGATGGCACCCATCTTCCTCCTGGTCTGAAGCTCTCAGCCTGAGGCTCCCCCGGGCAGTCTCCCCTGTCCTGAAGGAGGATCTGCCCAGCAAGTTCCCCCCCTGCCCAGGATATGTACTGAACTGCCACCTGAGACCTGGCTGAGCCATTAGCATCACTCAGTGCACGGTGGCATTGCAGTGGCAGCTGGAAAAACAGCGAGTGACGCCTCTCCTCCACCACCTCATCTTCCAGACCGCACAGGGACCTCAGGGTGCGCAGGACGCACCCTGCA